GGGGGTGGGCGGGCCAGCCTGAGCCCTCCCCGCGGCCGCGCCCCTGCGCATGGGGGTCGTTGCCTTGGCGACATGACGTTTTTCCTCGGGGTAGTGCTCGCCGCTGGAACCTGGCAGCTGCCGCCATCTTGCGAGCGACCGTCGGTCTCGGCTGGGGGGGGCAGGGCCCGCCACCGCGCGTAGGGCCACCCGCACTCTGGCGGTCACCGCCGGTACTCCGATGGCGTGCGAGCTTCCGAGTGGACCCGCGCAGGCCGTGTGGCCGCGGATTTGGGACTGCCGACACTGGCTCGCCGTAGTGCGCCTTTACCTCCCATGAGTGGCCGCGTTTTTAAATACAGGGAACCAAATCCCCCATCGTTGAAACGTGTTACTGAGATCCCTGTTCTTGAGGAAGGCTAAGTTCCCGCGGTCCCACGGGGGCGGGGAGCCGTGGTTGACGATTAATTCCTGGTTCGTTTCAGACCCAGGAATCTTTGCAGGGTGGCCACAAAAATAACAGTTAACGCTAGATAGAAAGTTAACAGTATGCCCCAGCACCCACGTCCCCCCATTCTTCACCATGTTTGACACACCGGCCCCCAATTTTGGACACCTTCCAAATTGTTGGGAGTCCTCAAGGAGACACCTGAGAGCTTTAGCAATGATTGGTCTCAACTGATTTAGAGGCTTTGAAGCCTATTAATTTGTCGGTATCAAGTCAAGGTACTCGCGTTTCCCCATGTGATTGATAGCCTAGCAATTCTTGCACACTTGGGACCCTCAGTGGCTTGAGGATTTTTTTTTTTTTTTCTCCTGGCTGTATTGGAAATGATGGCTTAGTTCTTAAGCACTTGGATTTTTGGGTCAATGGAAACAAAATTGTATTAAGCTAAGGTTTATTTTTAAAAACATAATTCCAACCACAGGGAAAGTGTAGTTTGTTAAAAGCATATAGAGAAAACCCCGTGTAGTATCAGTGATGTGCTTATCTGCAAGGATATAGTTTATAGACAACTTTTTACAGTATGATGTTTTCACAATTTGATAGATTATGAGGAAAAATGTATTCCTGTTCTATCCATAATAGTTTCTGCCCAGGCTCACTTATGCTGGGTCAGAGTACCACATTAATCATCTCCGAAGCATCGACTACTTGTAGAAATTCTTAGTGTTGGTTAAGCATAGAGGATACAGAGTTAGGAAAGCTGGGTCAAAACTTGGATGCCACCACCACTTCCTATGCCCTTAATCTGGGAGCTACCAAATTTCTCTGGTGCCCAGTATTCATATCTTGTCAAATAATAATAGAACTTAACCCACAGAGACTTAGGAGGATTGGATTAAATCAACCGGCAAACAATCAAATGACTGGCACAGCTTAAGTGATTAGTAAGAATGAGTTGTTACCTTTATGTAGGGAGGCTATCTATGCCTGTTCTTGTCATGGGGATTATATGTCACTCAACCAGAATTAACATTTTTATTGTTGAAATAACTGCTATTGATCTCTATATAAGTTTATTTTTCAAGTGTATTTCAACATTGTACTTAGAATAAACTTAGTCAAGCTTATGGCACAGGCCTTTGGTTATCATTTGTATATAAAGTATTCATTCAACATTTATCAAAATAGAGATTACTATTTGCCAGGAACTGCACTAATTACTGCAGACACAAAGTCAAATAAAACATGACCCTCAAAGAATTTCCCAAAATATAACCTTGGAACTAGCAAGGACATCAGGAATCATAAAATGGGTGATAAACATACATCCTGGAAGCTATAGAATCACAGAGGTGAGACAAATAATTCAGGGGGAACTAAGGATGTTTCCGTTTAGTTTTAAAGAAAAACTCATAGTTGAAGATGTAGGAGAGGAGGTGTTCCAGCTAGGGGAATATTTACTCATTAATTAATTTAACAAATACATTAGAGCATACATAGAATCAGATGCCTTATGGGCCTTATAAAGGCATTTTCTGGTTAGGTGCTTTTTTTAGTTTATTGTTACTTTTATTTCAAATATTGCCGGGGACCAGCCTCGGCGGGAGTGGGTTGACTCGTCGGAGGCGATGCTGGAAGGAAAGGAAGACAAAGGCCTCATGCCTTTTCATGCACGTCCTGAGTCGGACACTCCTCCAAGATCTCTCTCTGAGGAGTGACAACTGCTAGGAATCATAGTGCCGTTTTATTGAAAATGTGATACATGCAAGTAAACGGGTGAGGGGCTATATGTTCTAATTATCACTTCATAAAGTTTTAACAATAGAGATCAAAGATTCTATTCAGGGTTTGATTAAGGGCAGGTCTATTAATCATCGATACAATTCAACAATTGTTTGATTGATGTAAGCAAGCTTTTGGGAACTTGTGTTCTGGGAGTGTGGTTTCGGAGAACAGCTCCAGCAGGCATTGTTAATTACCAGTACTTGGCAGAAGCCATCTTGCGGTTACTGGTTGTGATGCTAAAAAAGAAAATCTCAAGTACAGATATTAGTTCTTATGGATCTCAATAAAGAACGATATCTATGGGAACCAGCAGTTAGCGTAATGGCTATGTCGTTGGACTCCCACGTAGTCGACCACGGTTGGCGTCCTGGACCCGGTGGCTTAAAACTCACGCCGGGCACATATGGGTGCATGCCCAAGATCCTGAGGAGGATGGAGGAGAAGGGATTGTGGTGTGACCATCCCCCCGGGGAGTGATTTCTCGCTTTCTGTCTCTCTGTCTCTCTCTGTCTGTCTGGCGAGTGCACACGCCCTATAGCGAAAACCTCTCCACACACACAAAAAAAGAATATTTATATAATTCTATAGAGATCTAAAATTTAATTAAAAGAATCTTAATATAGTTACCTATCCTGAAAGGGTGAAGTTACTGTTCACTTGGTGAGGGCAGGGACAGCTTTTTTCAACTGACAGTAAAGTGACTAACAAGTTAATGAAAAACTTTGTGGTACACCTAGGCATTCTATTGTGCCTGTGACACCACTGTCATGTATTTTGTCAAAACATTAGCTACAGTGAGGCGGGGGTGTCTTGGGTCAGTTTTGGCCTAAGAGGTTGTTTTTAAGTTTATATTAAATGTGTTTTGAAAGGCCTTTCAAAGGTCAAGAAGAACTTCAACACACCCTCTACTGTGCCCAATGAAGCGCTGTAATTAACAGTAAGTGGTCAGGGTAAAGGGGAGCGGTCAGGAAATTTTGGGGAAATCTTACTACAAAGATGTATGAGAAAACTATGGAATTATTTTATAGTAGTATATCAGGGAGTCAGAGGGGGGATCACTTCCCAGCAAGGCGACCACAGTTCCCAGAGTGAATAGCAAGCGGCCTTGCCGACATGCTAATTGACCCAAGCTTGTTCCTAGGTGGTGGGGGAGGGGGTGCGGCAGCGTACAGTAGCAGCCTTGCCAACGTACTGAACTGAGCAGAAGCAGTGCTCAAAAGGTCAAGGGCTCAACACAAGTCCTGGGGCCCCACTGGGTTGGACTCCTCCAAAATAAAAAGAATTCAAGCTTCAGAAAAGTAAATGATGAGATGTGGAGTTTAACCATATCTTTATGTCTTTAGGATTCATTTTCTGCTACCTTGCTGACCCCACATAAAAGGAAACATTATCTTATATCTGGAGCTGCTGCTTGAGCCACAGAAGCTGTTTTGCAAAACATTATCATGACATACATGTTTGAGGTAATAGTAATGCCCATTTTCAGTTCTTACCCAGCTTGCTCCTTTTGCTAAGCAGTAAAAAATAAACAAACCTAAAAACAGAAAACAAAACACTATAATAAAAGTCTCACTCTTCCTCATTGTCCAGAGATTGTCAGACAGAGAACTCTGAAAATAATACAGAACTGCAGGACTGGGTATGATGGGCTAAAGAGGAAGTGAAATTACCTCAGGGAATTAGAAAACTGAGTTTCCAGGACAGGGAAGCTAGAATTTTGTCAGTGACTGGATGACAGTGGGAGAAGGAGAGGGAATAAGACCAAGAAGAAAGGATGAAGAGGAGGCCAACCTTCGAACGTGGTGACCACAAAGGCTGAGGTACTCTGAAAAATAAGCACAGGAGGAAGGAGAGCTTGGAGAAGAAAGATGGTGAATCCACTTTCAGATGTGTACTTGAGAGGCTCGTGGGGGATGGGTGAATAGACACAGAGGACTAGACTTTGGGAGAGAGGTCAAGACAGATTTGAGAGTATTCTACAATTTAGAAGAAAAAAAAATAGTTGAGGTCTTGAGATTGAAAAAGAATGCCAAGTTTTACAGATAGGGTAAGAAGAAAACTCAGAAAAGAAGAAAGACATTATAAATTAAGATGACTGGGACCAGCAGTTAGCATAATGGCTATGTCTCTAGACTCCCACATAGTCGACTGTGGTTCATGTCCCGGACCCGGTGGCTTAAAACTCACGCTGGGCGTGTGTGCGTGCGTGCCCAAGATCCTGAGAGGAGTATGGAGGAGAAGAGATTGCGGCGTGGCCATCCCCCCTTGCGGGTGACTTCTCGCTTTCTGTCTCTCTCTGTCTCTGTCTGTCTAGCGAGTGCATGCACCCTATAGCAAAAACCTCTCCAAAAAATAAAAAACCCCAAAAAACAAACAAAAAAAGATGATGACTGATGACTTACATGGCCTATTGAAATTCATCTCTTTGCTTTATATCATAAGATGCATATGTTTGGTTGTCAGGAAATTCATGACACAGTTTTGCATAGAAAAATATGACTTTCCCAATGTAATAGAAACAGGTCATGTGAATGGGCATTGCGATGGGTAGAAACTTTAGGATGTCTCTTTTTTTTTTTTTTTTGGAGGGATTTTCACTATAGGGCAGGTGTGCTCGCCAGACAGACAGAGAGAGACATAGAGACAGAAAGCGAGAAATCACCCCCCAGGGGGGATGGTCACGCCGCAATCCCTTCTCCTCCATTCTCCT